GGTACAGGTAAAACTCGGCTATCCCAGTTGTGATGGGAAGGAACTTGTAACATTACAGTGATATCTTTCTCTGTTATACGCCCCGATCCTAACGCGATTAGGGCACCGACCATTCGTCTGACCTGTACAGAGCAGCATTTGTAGCTCCTTTACACGCACAAATGTGTTATTTGCCAGTGAAATATTACCTGATTGTACAAGAAAGATCTTGCCTTGCACGTGAAATGCCAATATGTGAAATTTTTCGTCAGTGGGTCTAGGGGCATAAAAGCGTGTGCCTCTTCCAAAGTAAAAGCCTGTAAGGCACGTACGTACTGGATTTTACGATCTGTTACAGATTTTGCACTAAACGTGGTAAAGTCTTTTGTTCCCATAAACAACTGTATACCACGTTTTACCCTGTCTACGTCGAAATTGTGTGACCTGACAAATATGTGCCGTAAGGTAGAGAGTACATTAAATTTTACCTCTTTACAAAATTACCTTAAATAGTAAGTGTGTGTCGCATCTAGGAGAGCTATCCGTTGGTCTTCACATTTAGGTACCATAAATCTGTACAAGTAAGTTCGCGATTTACACGAATATCTTGCGTGGAAATCATTTGTGATGGGTATACAATCCAGCAATCTATGAAAAGCATAATTTTAACAAACAAAGCAAAACAGTAAACAGTAGAATAGATGTACTAACATTAAAGGCTGAGTTATGATGGCCGTAACTGTTAACTTATGCCAGAACCGGTAAAGTTCGATACTGGGATTTCAATGCTTTCGTTCATAATGGGTTTCTGAACGAAAGCATTGAAATCCCAGTATCGAACTTTACCGGTTCTGGCATAAGTTAACAGTTACGGCCATCATAACTCAGCCTTAAGATAAATGCTTTTACGAATTACCTAATGGTATGACCACAATGGCCAAAATAACGATTAACACATTGCTTTACATGTGACGAATCATATATCGTATTATATTTGTTTTCGAGCTCCACATGAGCAGTGTTGCCTAAAGCATGAACACCAGCGTCTGTCCTACAAACACATACACTTAGTTTTACAAAAGATTGATCGTTTAATTTAGTCCCTTCAACAAAGTCTAGAGAACATACAGTAGTGTATAATCATTAAGCCTTGTGTCCACGATCCAAAAATCAAGTTTTAGCTCCAAGAAGTGTGTAGCCAATCAATTTGCAGCTCTCCCGTAATGTGTCGCCTACAATGCGTGGAGTAAGGAGTACGATTAGAAGTAAGGAAATCTGTCTACATTGGAAGTAAGCAGTAAAAAGAAAGTCATAATCTTTACTTAGTGTAAAAGCTAAAGTACAGGCATAATTTTTAAAATATTTATAGCACTGGTCGAACTGCACTCTAATTTGACGAGAGAAATCGTCAGAGGTGAAGTAAGAGTAAGAAATGGAAATTAATAATTTCTTTACTCCTACTCTTACTTCTTACGCCAGGCTTACCTCATCTATTGTAGACGATCCTTTTCTCACTCCTATTTCAGCTCTCAAGCTTACTCTTGGCGAATCAGAATGCCATATTTAATGTCAATATTTAAAAAATTATGCCTATATCTTAGCTTCGTTACACCAAAAGCTAAAGATTATGGTTCTCTCTTACTCCTAACGCCAGGCTTACTCCACATATTGTAGATGACACATAAATAATCCAAGTTGACTGGTTACACATTTTTCGGAACTAAAACTTGAACACAGTTCTTAGATTGTGGACACAAGACTTTACACACATAAAGAAATATTTTTTGGCAGTAAGGTAGAATGCTGTAAAGTCCTTTAGGTACATTTGCCTACACAGAACATTGTACAAAGGTAACACGAAACAAGAAAATATACCTGCTGGAGAGAACGAGGGCTGGCCTAATTAGGCTCTTTGGCAAGAGCTTTAGTAGAGCAGTTTCTAAAGCACCTTGGATGGAATCGGTGTCCCGTATAAAGTTGTCATTATAAGGAGTCTGCTTCTGCAAGCCCCTTTACAAAAACCGACAACGTTACGTCGCGAATTGCATAATGAAAAGAAAAAAAAGTTATATATGTCGGTATTCTTAGTCAGTTTTTATATTCAAGACTGCCTTGAATTTATCTAAAGATGCTGTGTAGAACATTTCATTGACTACGGAGTATCTAAAGATGATCTTAAAACGTTCTTGAATACAAGATCTGACCACGAATACCAGCCAGTCTATAAAAACGAGAGCTCATGGACGTCGTGCACAAATGTACACCTTTATATTAAGCTATAAACCATTTCGTTATACCTGTAGTGCGCACCAATGTACGAGAACTTAAGCAAATATCGTACCATAATTTTGCCTTCTATATAAAAGAGCAAGACGGACGATATATCACACGCTACTGCTGGTAGAATTTTAGTAGCAATCACTGGCAATCACTCGAGAATCCTATAACCTCAAAAACGGAGAGCGAGAGGCTCTCCTTCAGTATTGCCATATTGACCAAATTTATGTCATATTTTGGTAGTTAACCTCCAACTTCGTGGGACGGGAAAAAAATCCAACGGTTTTGTGGAAAATTTAGGGGCAAATGGGGTAAATGCGGACGCACAGCTCTGTTTATTTTCGTTGCACGCCGTGACACTCTCTGTGCTCTCTGTTTATCCGAAACGAGACGGACGTATATTGTAGTTGCAAGTGGGAGTGAAAAGGCCGAGTGCGCAGGTGCACAGAGGGTGCTAGTGAAGCGAGCGAATCCCGCGAAGTAGGCGGTTACGCCAGTGATGGAAGATTGCAAGGAATCGTCTGCTACAGGAGACTTCGTGCGCATGCGTGAGGTGACGTAGCGGCTCGAATCCAATGGTGGATATAGGTGCCACGTTAAGGGGTCACAGGGGTCCCGCGCATGCACAAAGTATCCATTCCGATAGTTTTCCCGTGTTTATTTTGTGATAGTGTTTGTGATAATACATATTGATAATATAAGTAAAAGTCGTAATATCAACCCATCCGCTTCGTTGGCTATTTCTAATAATAATACATCTGTGAACCATGATACTTTCATCAAAACTTTTCCTCCCTAAATTCGCTTTCAGATTCATTTTCATGTTGGGAACCTTATGATACCACTTAATATGTACGTCAGTGAGGCTGCGCAGAAGATTGCTCAATGCGCGTGCGCGGGAAATCCTTCCAATCTCCCATCACTGTTTCGCAGGTTTCGCATCATCATTGCCATCATTGAGTTACGCGCATGTGCGGTGCCCCCCTCAAGCCGACCGAAGTCAGAACGTCGGTTTCGCTCGTCTAACGGTACATTTTTACTGGTCGTGAAATTTTTGCCACGCTAAGCCGTTTCTTCTGGATCTTCCCGCGAACCTACGGCATATCCTCCGTCTGCTAGTTTCCAAATGCTCCCGACACGTTCGGCAATCTCGGATTGCCGTTCGTCGTTGCTCGGGACGCCTCAACCTATACTCCATACTTAAATGAACGTGGGCTGTGTCGCGCGAGCCCGTAAAATGTCCAGTGGAACACGCCGAGATAATTCTTTCTTTATTTTCACCTGATATAAGGTACTTCGGAAAGGGATAAGCAACGTTACGTTCGGAAGTATCTCGGGACGGAAACATCCGGTCGGTGACACGACAACGATGGCGGCGCGTCATGAGGCGCAAGATTTCCGCGTGCCACTGATCAATTTAGATGGCGAGTTGACAGGAGACGCATTTCAGGTATTTATTGCTGACCCCTCTTTTTTATCGAGAACGTTATCGTATCGAGGATGGGTCCACTTTGGATCTCTGGTATTTTTGTTACGTATTGGGAAAGAGAATGGTTCGTGTTTCAGGACGTCTTTTTTTCGTTGGTCGATAAAAGATTGGACCTGATTGATCCTATTCCTAATATTCACGCACTGTTTGTACAATTCGACGAGCGATTCTTCAGGAACATGCTGGCTCCCGTCGAAGTCAAATGGAGTAACAAAATGACAAGGTAAATATACTTGTTATATTACCTAAGCACGAAATATCACTTAACTGTTGTTTATGTAATATGCGATTGTAGTTCTGCTGGGGTTTGCACATTTCGCTCGGGTAATCAACAATGTGTGATATCACTCAGTGTGCCGTTACTTAAGCTTAGGCCAAGGAAGGATCTTATAGAGACGTTATTGGTAAGTTTCTCGAGAAATAAATATAAGAACATAACCTTAAACCTCGGAGGATCGTGTAAAAAAAACTTTGGGAAAGCACCACGGGAGGGGGGGGGGGGACTCAGGTCCCCCAGTTGAACTTTTATACTAATAAATCGATAAATCTGAAGATACTCGTATATATTTTAGAGTTTTTAGTTCTCGTGTTAAAGTTAATTGAAATCTAATTCAAAATCTATATTTGCCGACTCGAAATAATAAATTGCAAGTGAAAACAAAATGTTCCTTAACTCTTTCAGTCACACAACTCGGGGCTCAAAGTAATTATTAGGTGCACAGTGATTTTCTATACTTCTGAAGAATAAATGTTATAACAATTATATAAAATGGTAATTCTTCCGTATGGCTTCAGGGTAGCTATACTGAATTACCTATAAAATGATTTATTAATTCTATGGTACACGAAGTAGTCACATAACCCAAACTTCAGCTAAAAGGATAGAAAATTGCGGAAATGGTAAAGGAAACAAAAATTTTGGGGGACCCGAGTTACCCCACATGGTCCTTTAAGGGTTCATTTAGAAATGTACACTGTTTTACATTGATTATTATCTTGTTAAATTGCAGCACGAGATGATCCATGCATATTTGTTCTTGACAAATAATGATCGGGATCGAGATGGCCATGGTCCGAACTTTTGCAAACACATGCACAGAATTAATAAAGAAGCAGGAACCAATATAACTGTGAGTCATTATCTTAAGGCGATGCTGGAGTGATTATGTACTTTTGGCACCTTTTGCTCCTAGAACTGTCGATTCGTGCAAACATTGTGTAATATACAAATTATGTGGCTTAAAGATTTTTTTCTTATGTTAAACAGATTTATCACAACTTTCACGAAGAGGTGAAGCTATACAAACAGCATTGGTGGAAATGTAATGGACCTTGCCAAAACAAACCACCGTACTTTGGGACGGTTCGACGAAGTATGAATCGCCCACCCGGCCCGTCAGACTTCTGGTGGTCCCGACATCAACAAAATTGCAATGGCCAGTTCATAAAGATCAAAGAGCCAGAGAATTTTAAATCTCGTTCGAAGCAAAATAATAAATCAAAATCAACATCAAAGGATAACAAACCGAATAGAAGCATAACTAATTGGATCACAAAGACTATTCCGGTGATGGATGCAGTTGCATCTACATCTTCAAAAGTCCTTGCTAATAACATGTCTAACATACCTCCTGAGGCAAAGATTGATAGGCCTAGCACTAGTAAAGACAATGGTGATACAAATTCGTCGCAGGAAACGAAGAAACTTGGCAGCTCTAGTAATAACGTACATGGCTGGGGTATTAGTGGCCCGAGTGGAAACGCGAAAATGAATAATGCAAAGACTGTATCTAAGAATGCCACGTTTTCTTGTTCCGGTGTTCTGGGAGGCAGTACCAGTGGTCGGAGTAATCTCCTGACCAAATTCCAACAGACGAACGACGACAAAAGTCGCCAGGGTGAATTGGTTCAAAAAAATTCATCTTCGGAATCGTCATCGGGACAAGAGCCCGCTAATAATCCAAGTCAACCGAGAAATAATTCCGCACCTTGTCCTTTGTGCAACATAACTGTAACCACAAGAAATATATACAGCCATATAGATTCATGCCTAATACATAATAGTAATACATCATTGGTTGATGAGATTAACAATAATATTAATAACAATAATAACAGTGAAGAGTTGATGTTGCCTATTCGAACGTTCTCCAGGTCAATTGAAGAGGACAATGTTGATGCATATACAAGTTCTAATAAGCGTTTCAAATCAGATACTTCAAATGAAACAGTTAACTATGCGACTTGTCCCGTTTGTGATAAGAGGCTGCCAGCAACTGATATTCACCAGCATGTTGACGAGTGTCTATTGGAAGCAGAGAGGGCTCGTAAGGCTGCCATTCCTTCAACTTCTCGTGCGTCGTATGACGAAGAGAACCCAAAAGCAGCGGAACAAATATGTTTAGTTTGCAATGCACAAATTGCTCCTGAATCATCATTAAATGAACATCTCGAAGAATGCATTGAAAGTATCTTTGAAGGCAAAATGATGATGGATGATACGCTTGCTATAGAAACTAATTCGTTGAAAAATGAATATCCCTGTCCAGTATGTATGGAGATAATACAAGGAAATCTTATGCACCAGCATTTAGATATGTGCCTTAAAAATGAATAAGTGGTCTTGCGAACAAAAAGAGCAACAATGAACTATTTTGCGGATAAGGAAATGTGTTTTTTTTTAAAAATCTGAATATGTATCTCATTAAACATCTTTTCATATATATATATAAGGTTCGTTTGTGCATATCGTCATTTTTATATGAAGACAGAATAAATAAAAGATTTAATGCAAAACAAAAAGTTATTATTATAAGAACATGAATATGTAATTTGAAACGACATTTGTATACTTATCAGAAATAGAAGTTTCAAGTATATTATTAAAGATACCTGTATCGGAAGGCACAATTTACATGCCGAGTGTAATTATTAACATGTAACTTGTATGTAATGTGCTTATATAATTTCATTTAACATAAGTTCTTTAATGATTAAGACTAGCTGATGAAGAAAGTTAGATTATTTATCTAGAAACAGTTCTATAAAATTCTCAATGTTATTTTTTAATAAATAGTAAACATTATTTAAGGTTAGTAATTGATAAAAATTTAGAGCTTTAATCATTTAGTCATTTAAACTAAAGTACCTATGTTCAGAGCTGTTGATTATTTGCTAAAGTTGTATTTTATGACAGAAAAAAATAGAGTACAATAGAGTGATTATGTATGAATCGTTCAGATGTTCGGCTTATATCATCCGGCATTTGCTCATTAGCAACCAGTTCATTAATAACTGGACTGATTTCATGCATTATAAGAAAATTTCAGATATCAATTGACTGATTGATTCAACGGCCGAAAATCCGAGCTCTAATTATGTAATTATATAGATATCTTTTTGTACTGTAACATTTATCAGATATGTATTAAAAAGTATATTAAAAATGAATATAAAATTATTTTTTCACAATATCATTAATATGTTGCATTATATATATGTACATTCTGCAGAGTAAATTAGAGTTTTTCGTATAATCTGTCGATATTGGGATGATCGAGTGTGCATATTCCACAACTAAATTCTAACGCATGATTAGGGAAAAGGAGTAGAACTTGTTCCTGCGTCCAGTGCATGTACAGAAAAATATTAGGTAGCAAGATATCGATTGCCTTGCCGCTCATTTTAATCCTGCATACAAGTAATATTATTTTCTTTTGTTTTATATTTAAAGAACAAGAATGATATATAAATTAATAATACGAAAAATTCTGTAAATCCAAAATTATCTATATAACATCGACTTTACTTACTTTTTAGTTCCTAGTGTATGAAATGTGTAATCAGACTGCACTTGTATATATGATGTAGCATTATAAAGGATTCCTCTATCCTTGTCAGCTATAATCTGCGTAGTTCCCGATTCGTCAGTTAAATTCACGTTGATCCCATACACACCATTAGCTGCTGTTAATGCAAGTCTAGGATTTTCATCATAACATTGCCCAAGTAATATCACTTTGCTATTTTCAGTGAAATTGTAAACCGTGTTGTACGCCGACTTTATGGAATCTGATGTTATGATACATGCGCCTAAATTACCAAACATTAAATCATCTATAACACTCGGTCGTAAAATATATTGTCGCATACGTGGTATTGATCAATACTTGGGCACACACGCAACTTATTTTATGATGACTAGCGTGATATTATACGTACTAGAAAACATTTTGAAGAATGGTATTTCCATATATTTATGAATTCTCGTTCGTGTTAGGAAAAGATCAATATAGTATGAATTGTATTCAATTGCAACTTCGTCCCCGTTGAGTTGCAGTTCGCCAACATTTGACTCTTTCGGGAAAATTGCGGTTACCGCGAGTTCATCAGACTTTCTCGCAACACTGCTATTTCCACCGATAAGATCATATAAGGCATACATTTTCCACACTAGCTTGGACAAACTCTCTGGTAACTGTTGTTTTAATTATAAGTCTAATTATCATGTCACTATTGTATATTTCCATGTAAAGTTTTACGAAGTCTAAATTTACCTTTTCATATCGTGCAAATATTTTATATCTTCGCAAGGTAGACAATTCCTGTGATACTTTGTAACAAGAATTCGTATAAGGGACGATTCTCTTCCCCGCAGATTCTTTTTTACATTCACCGTAAGGCCAGCTTGTCCTTTTACTTTCCTCGAGCTGCTCTCTGCTAATTTCGCCAATTAAGTTCATCGATATAGAGGATCCGCTGCACTTTCCTTTCGTAGTATCGGAGAGCCCCCAAACAATATTTAATTTTATGCGAGAGGAGTCACTCGGTTCGATACTCAAAATCTCCCATTGCCAGGGCACATGTCTCTCGGCCTCTACGCAAAACTAAATCAATCAATAAATCAATTTCGGTTACATTCAGTTTTCTTATAGTTTTTGTATAGAATTTAACTTTACCTTAAATATGCGTTCACCAGGCACCATTTTAGTCGCCTTAAATTTAATCACATCCGATAACCAACTAGTCGATTCGTATAATGCAGCTATATTCCATTGATGAAGAATTTGCGAGGACTGTAAGTCGTAGTGTGTCAAAGATAAAATATGACGATTTTCACTTTTCAAATATTCCAATTTCGTCTAAGAAAAGATAACTCGATGTAATGAGTGTAATAAACATTGTAATATATACAAGGTGTACTTGATAGCAGTCTTTTTCTTTTTACATCCATAGATATAAAAACAAACAGCTCTCCACGTTTTTTTTACAAATATACATATATCTTTCACCTGTGATGGTCCGGATTTGAGTGCCTCGATATAAGCAGCCAATCCGCAGCTACCTTTTGGTGGCATATAAGTGAAGTAATCCAAGAAATGCAGTCCAATTAAAGCAAACTTGATACTTGGCCACGTTCTACAATTTTCAGAGTAATGAGTAATTTCAAATTTATGTATATATTTATAGTATATTACATAATAGTAAGAAAAAAACATGTTGTATGTATACTGCTGTATCTGACTATATCGATAGAACGAATGAAAACTGAAAGTGTGCGTTATAAATAAAACTGAGTTAGCAAGATAAATATAAAAATCCTGATAATGAGTAACGTTTATAAACACAAACGCGAACAGAAATGTTAACAAAACTTATTAAGTAAAATGCATTCTAGATAAATTTTCAAAATTGATTTTCTCGAAAGTAAAGCCTTAAAAATGAAAAATTTTATTTTGTATATTTTTACTACTTTCATCTTTTTCCCGTAAAATTATTACTTTTCTGGTTACCCAATATATTGTTAAGTACCCTGTATTTACAGATAAATAAATAGACGAGTGTAAATGATACATTACTGATAATTGCTTCGATGAGAAGACCAAACGTCGTTAATTAATGTTTCATGCGATATCATGCTTTCGCAATCAAATATCTTTACGTGTAGCCGACCTCCTAATTCGGGAAGTCCAACGTTAAGAATATTCATCGTCTGTAAGAGAGGAAAGGAAAAAGTGCTATACATATACAGTAACCAATATAAATTTAAACAGCGAAAGGAACACCACATATACGAAATAATGATTACCTGCAGATTAGAGGATGGCAACTTTACAACTGTATGCGCTACAGAGCACGAACGACAAACTCGATCCAACTTTGCTCGAACATTGGCACCTCTAATGCTCGTGAGCGTTTTAGCGTGTACTGTAATTCCTGTCTTAAGACGTTCTGTAACGTAACGTTTACAATGCGAAGATAAGACTTTAGTAGGATACTCGCAAAATTTAAAATATTTTTTTTCTAAATACGAGTTTGATTTATAAAAAGAAACTATGATTTATAAAGCTACTTTCTGAATGTTAAATACGGATGTTCAATTAAAATTGAAGATTGCATGAATCGTTAGTTTTAACCCGTTAGCAAAATAAGACCTGGTACCTCCTAGAGTGTCGTACGAAATAAATGGCCGTTCGTCTAATCCGAGCGTAATGTTGATAGGAAAGTATCCGTGTAGCGACTGAACTCTTTCAGCACTATGCCACAAGTCAATCAACGGATTATAATTCTCTATCGTTTCAATGCCGTGAATAGATGTGCTAAAATAATATGTCGAATACATAAATAAATTTAAGCACTTACAACACAAAGCTACGATATTTCAAATGTTTCTAGATTTCTAGATAAATATTACAGAAACGCGCGTGTAATTGTACACATATACAAATATAATCTTACCGTAAAATAATATGATTATTTCGTCCAGGAAAATCGCGAGTAAAATTTCCTCTCATCGAAAACAGAGACGTTCCCGTCATTGCGAGTCTAACACTGGTACCGAAATCGGTCACTTGCAACGATTCTAACGATAACGGCACATTTATACGTTGTTGATTAACATGAAACTCCATGTTATAATACGTTTGATATATGTTGTCCGATAGAGAGGACAAGTCTAGAAAATTAAATATGCAAATGATGTAACATTATTACATTTGTAATTAATTACAAACTTACACTTCAACCCCTCGACTATATTTGTTTCATTCCAGTGAACGCACAATACTGTTTTTTCCTGAATACGTGTAATTATTTCCAAGTGCATGGGACCTTTCTTGCGTTCGTCCAATTTGAATTCCTTCAGGACATCTTTTATATATGTCGGATTTTCAAAAGAAGTCGCTAATGAATGGAAAATACCCTCCGCTTTGATGTACAACTAAATCGCACCAATAAAGATAGCAATTAAATTGATTAATATTTAAAAGTAATGCAAATTCTTGTTTTGGAAAACATGTACTTACAGATACATGATTAATATGCGTTCCACTAGCGTAATTATTTAAAGTCATGTATATTACTTCAGGAATATTCGTAGAAGGGTTGGCTACGATAATGCCCTGCAACATAGCGCCGAATCTTCTTGAGGAATCTTGATAATCAACCAAGTAATTACCCGTAGCCAGATACTCACTATTCGGTTTCCGGAGTATGCGGCTGAATTGAGCTGCGGTTTTGCTTCTGTAAATATTCGATAGCGATAATTAAGGAGCAGTAATTAGACGCACACGTCAAAGCGTTAAATAAATTATTAACGTTATATAAATTCAGCAAAGATTTACTAATAAATTAAGGAATAACGTCCAATATCATTCAAACGTAAATTGAGTAAAGATAGTGCGCTAGATTCGTATGAGTATATAAAAATTAATATTCCATGAATTTTAGTTCTTTCGCCTTGGTAAATTTTATCTACATACATGCGCTTATAACAAGGGTACGTGGTGCGTTCCATAGATTTTAACATCGTATAAAAATAGTTGTACAAGTGTTGATTGGGCTCGTTATGCATGTACCAATATAGAGACATCAATCTGTTGGGTGTAGGGCTGGAAACAATAAGCAAAGTTAACGCAGCGACTCTCATTTCCAAATGCTCGGTTCTATTGAGCAAGATCGGCCAATACACAGGATAAATCTGCAAAATAAAATTATTATATGTAATTTTGTATGTGGTATACGATGTCAAACACTTGATCCGTAAAAAGTCGCTATAAGAAGTAGTCGCTTACAACATCGGGCCTCGATAGTGCTGTGGGAGTGGAGGCCCAAGCCGCTAGTACTCGAAAATGCCGTGATTCAGCATTATTGCCACTAGCTATAGGCTCTAAGAACTCTACAACTCTACCCAGCTGTATGTTTGCCAAACCTTCCAACCAGACTATCTTCTGCTCGTATCGGGTAGTTTCTGTAACATGGATCGAATAGTACAGTCCTATTCAAACAACTGAAAGAAATGCTATGATATAAATCATTACGTGTACCTGTAAATTTATCGAGGTACAGACGTACGTAATCATCTAACATTTCATACGGACAATATACTAGACAAGTTTTATATATTAATGTGCCATAGGTCAGAATCGCGGTATTTTGCACCTCCGCGGAGATTTTGGCCGGCAGGTTGAGAAGCGGTTGAAGGCTGACCAGCAGTTCAACGTCGGGCTTTCTTATGTGAAATGGCAAGCGCATAAGTAACTGAATTGCAGATATGTCGGATACTTTGTTGCTCTGAATAAGATCCAATATAAAAAGCACAGATTCTTTACTTCCAACTTGTGGCAGCGCCTCGAGAAACATGTTTCTGTTATAATAAAGCAGAGAAATATAATTTAAGGAGAGTACATAGCAAGGAACAATTATGTATGTGTTAAGTAAGTACCGTATCGTTTCCTCTTTATAACTAGTTCCCGAGATTCGAGTGTAGGCCTTTCCTAGATCAACGCGATCTAACATACCGAGATAATAGAGAAGCACGGATATCGTTGTATTGTGCAGATTATGAATCTCGGTATCCAAACCAGGATTTTCGAGCCTGTGGCTTAAACGATCTAATAAACGACTGATCTACAACAAGTTGATGAAGATTTGACTGGAATAGCGAAACAGGTGGAAGAAGATGAAATTGAATAAGCTTACAGATTTAAAAATAAAACTTTTATCCGGTGTGCCTCTACCCTGTGTGAGATCCGCTTCTGGTAACTCGTGTTCAAGTACTGTAGTTTGTAAATTATTTGTAATTATTTTATCTGCTATATCCTTCACTGAAGATAATTCAATAGCTTGCCTATAGAATAAAGCAATTTTCATCTGCTCATTTAGAATAACGATAAAATAATACAAGTGTGTATATGTATATTTGTAAAACGTACTGAACAAAGTGATAGTGCGCCTCTCCCATACTTTGAAAAGGTTGCACGTAGATATTTCCGGATGCATTAACGGAGATGATATCGTGAACAAATCCATCGGTTTTCAATCGATATACTCTGACGCTACTTTTCAAGATGGGATTCTAGGAAATATACAACGTAATATCCACATTAATTATGACAGCAGGATTCGACAGACTATTAATTAAATAAATAGGTAGAATTATCAGTGACAATGTACTTGATCCTCGTCAGTGCATTGCATTTTAGGAACATTCGACCAATTGCGACTTGCATGCCCAGTACACATCCGAGGATCTAACGATTTCCTTATCAAACGCTGAGTTTCGCCTTCCGGGTTTACAACGTAATCAATGTTACATTTCCCATAGTGATTTACCTGCAAATTATAATTTCTATGTATTAGTGCTTTTCAACGCTTTTGTAGAATATATATACACATTAATATATCAGCCATTATGCAACAGATATGTATATTCACTCATGTGGGTCTAAACAATTTAAATGTTTATCACTTACTTCGGTAGAATGAAATGCGACCTCCTTTTCCAAATTAAGAAGATCCAATTGTAAAATTCCAGCTATGCTCCGTTTTATATTAGTCGCCCATGCAGGTTCAGCTTCGGTGCTCAAGTTTTCGATGAGTCCTTTGTTGTATGCTAAACGGAAAGGTTTCAAAAGATCTAAGGCGTCATCATAGATATCGATATCTTCGGTCACCTCTTTTACATTTCCATTGTGTATATTCGTCTTCAATGATTGCAACTGATAAAAAAACATTGGGATGTATTACATAGTTCTTATGGTGGGAAAAAATAAGAAAACGGCGAGGAGAGAAACAAAGACGATTACAGTTATTTTAAAAATACCTGTACTGTGACATAGTCATCTTCCGCCTGAATTACGAGTTTCCCATTGAGACTCCATGTAGAAGCTGCGTTGGAAGGTATCAGCACGCCAGTGCTCGATGTAGCATTGTAAGAATATACATATTCTTTCCCAGATCTAAATAAACTTTGCGCGACATTCTCAGTGCTTAATAATAAGAATATGAATAATGTTCTTCCTACTCCACCCGCTAATCTGGGTACTAAAGTGGAATCTGGAATAGAAAGACTTTCCTTCATTTTTGTACATTGGACTCATCTGATTCTTTCGCGTTTTCGCAATTATTGAAAATATTACAAATATAAATCATTACTTTTAGACATATTAAAAGCAAAGAAGAATGTGAACCGATTATTAGCGATATACTAATAAGATCGCAGCAATAAATATATTGCTTGTGACACAATATAACCTTTTTATTTTATTGAAAAAGTAGTATACCTGCGATCTTCATGATGTGTGATCGTAGCTCGACGAAAGCAAACTGAGTTCACGCAAGTCAAGGAATGACCCTTACCAGTTCTTATCATTGTGACCCACGAATACAAATACGATTGCTCGTGCTATGTACACAGTATATATACAGGAATTATGCTCTCGGCGTATTATCTTCAATCATATAGATTGTGTATTATATTATCGCTGACCCTTTTTCTCTCAATACGCTGGCATATAAAATATATATACACATCTTAGTTTATATGCGTAGCGCTTGCTATAAACCGAAAAATGTGCGGAAAAACGATCAATTTTCCAATTATGCACAGTAAAAATTACATATGACTTCAAGTAACAAAAACTTGAAAACATTTAAAATGCAAGCCTATTTTTCTGGATGATTATGTAAAAGATGTTGGACCATGTGACTGTTTTCCATTTCTTTATAGTTATTTCATTACTATCGCTATCATGAATAAAAGATGAAAATATTTCTGATTATATCTTATGCTATATAAATGCTTTATCTGTATTGGTTTTATAAATAGCTAAATAGAAAAGCATCGTTTTTGTACGTATCATAAATTTTGTTAAAGTATGTTGTCTTGCAATTAAAAATATTATAAAATATTCACTTTGCAACAGGCATATACACTAAAATCAGTTTTATTTATACAATATACATGCAAACATATGCAGATATGCATTACCATTACTATTATGTATGGACGTAGGAATATAATTCTTATTAATTGTTAACTGTAATTTTTTAAAGGCAAGGCTCGAATATTTACGAGTGTACTATTTACAGATTTATTTTTGCTTATTATGTACAATCGAAAAGTATATTATGTCGCGAGTTGTCTCATTTAGTTTATTACTATACAAAACTGTATCTTAATATATTATACATTTGACAATTTACTGTGATGTACAGAATCTTATTGTAAGCTATACGTATAAAATCCATCAACAAGCACGTTGGTACTAAAGCAAAAAATTTGATATATATATATGTATGTATGTGTGTGTATATACTGATCAACACATTATACAAGCTTGATTACTTTCAGGATCGATTTGGCGTATTCCCAGGCTTCACTGTAACATACAAATTTTATTTTAGATACATTTGTATGCCTTGCGCGATTCACAATATAAAAAAGAGCGTTTCACTAATCGCAAACAAATATTATTAATAGATACTTACTTGTGTGCTGGGTTTGCCTGATCTAACTGTTCGCTAAGTTGTTGAATAAGTGTAGCAAACATTTTGAGATGTTCAATTGTTTCTCCTTGCAACCAAGCTCTTGGTAATGTATTCATAATCTGCAATATATTGATGAACACTTTATTCATTGCACATGAAGAAAATTAAAACGCTAAAATATCTTTTTCCATGTAATTATCGATATGTATTTATTATTTTTTAATATTAGACATGACATACCATATTTGCTTTAAATAAAGCGTCAGTTGAACAAGAAACTCTCAATCCAGCAAGCAGGTAACGATTCAAAAGTGAGCCTAGTGCCAAATTTTTTAATTGTATATCTCCAAGAAGGCCTTGCCAACTCAATAAATTACGTAGTAATTTAACAGCCATTGCAAATTGCCTTTGAAAGAATTGGTGTTTTGTATCCCAAACTCTAAAATGTTGATTTGTGTTAAAAGCAGCGAAAGAGTAATATAATTGAGACATCGATTTAATTCTATACTGTACTGACTGTTTCGGAAAGATAGGTATAAAAACATCATTTTCAATAGCAGCCTTAATTTTATCCAAAATAGCATTAAATAAGGTTTCCAATGATTTGCTGGTGTCATTCAGATTAGGATATTCTTTAACGAATCGATTTATAGTTCCTACGAGACGCAACGTCTGCGACGTTGACATTGGATCCCATATTTTTTCGATAATAGCTAAAAATTATTTAAATATATAAAATTAATATTACTAATTCTACATTAAATACATTAATATATAGATTATTTTATTCTCCTACTGTAACTTAACAAATAGCAATATAAACTATGAAAGATACTATAATTCTGTCATTCTTACATGTCAATTTTGGTATCACAATTTTTTCAATTGTTGATGGTATCAATCTAACATCTGGATCTTGTTTCAACGACTCCTCTGTTTCTTTACTATCTAAAGCATACAGAAGCAATGCATTATACCATTTTGTCCTCTCTAGATCAGTGCTTTCCTATAAAAATAATTGGATATTAATTATAAGTGTGACTAATGTAAATATCTTTTGTTGAAAAGAATGAATAAAATACCATAATTGGATTCCAAGTAACTAGTTGTGATCTGATAATAGGCGAGATAATTTTAGGTAAACACAACGAAACATATGCTTCTGTGTAGGCGTCCATGTCCGTTTCTCTCCATGATTCGAATTTTGAAAGAATACCACGTACTGTACAATACTCCTCCATAACATCAGAAAATATATCTTTATAATTATTATCAATTTCATCTGTAAGAACATGAAAATGTTATATAGTTATAAAAATTATAATAAATAAAATTTATAAAGAATCAAAATCAGCTATTACCTTTTGCTTGCTTAAATACAAGATTTTGTTGTTCAGTGACTTCATCGTCACTAGACATGCCATCAATATGCTTTGGCATATTTGAAGCTAATTCTCTGGCTCTTCTGCGACGGGCTCTTCTACCTTCTCTCTCTGTAGCTCGTCGTACATGAACCTCTACTTCCGGTCCTCTTCTCATGGTTTGACCTCCTGCAAAGCGAAAGATTATAGAATTTGTGTTGCGAAATCTTTCGGTGACATTTCTGGAGCATAAGGTTATCAAGTATGCCTCCAAAATACTAAGTTCTATCAGTTAAGTACACCGATTGGAAATTTACTGACTTGCTGCAGTAGTTATTTCTTCCGCTTGATCTCTTGTGTCTTGCCGTCTTCGTTCCATCAATTCCGTTGAACGCTCGCTATACAGATCTAACCAGCGTTGTTCCAAGTCGGTGATCAGGGGAAGCTACCCAAAAAAAAAAAATAAATTATACATTTAAGATGACTTATTCAACATATTCTGTTAATTACAATTGATGTTTAAATTTATGACTTTATAACAACATATAGTGCTTAATAAGCATCAATTTGTCTGTTAATCGACAGCTCCGATTAGACATAAATTACTCGAAACATTCTTAAACGTGATCGTATTATTTATACATTAAAAATAGATTAGACATCACTTTACTTACCATAGCCAAATTAATTTATTAATCACTCGTATGAATGACATTTATCTTTATAAAATATGTATAAAAATAACATATAATATACAGAGAAGATAATGACCCCCGGCAATGGAAACATATGTATGTGCTACATATATACACATTATTCTTATTTTTCATAAATTGTTGAACTCATTAAAAAACTTTTGTCACTCCATTATCTTACTTATCAAAGCTCATACAAACAAATTATGAAAATCGCACTAGTAAAATTTGTTTGAACAAGTTTTCAGTTTCAACTGGATCTAATTTAAGCCAAAGTATAGTAATAACTATATATTTGCATAATTTGTTTAAAAGAGAATCGATCTGGACAAGTCAAAAGAGTAACAAATATTCTTTTTAAGTAGCGTATCTGGAATCTTTTGAAAATTAAGACTCCTGGGCCCACATTGCATTCATATTGAGTTATGTCATAAGCAAAAAATTATCTAAATTCTTTTCTTCCACTACATATTTCACACTTATAAGGTGAAATATCATTATTGAAAGTACGATAACTTGATCGTTATGTTAAACTCTTTAATTATTTTTAATAATTTATTTAATACTGGATATATTTTTATAAGATTTTATATAACAAACTTAGATATCAAAATTTAAAACAAGATTTATTAAGGTCGTTGGTGCTTTACTGGAGAACTTTTGTCAGCCACATACTGTAGGATAAAATCCAGTGCACATAAATCAAACGTGACAGCGTATCAACCCACCTTCTCATCAAGACACTCTACCAAGTCAGTGACATACCCACGCAACTCTTGGTAATATCTGAAGCGTTGTGCGTAATGCGGCGTACGAACTTCACATTCATCCAATTCTTTCACGGCTTGCTCTAATTCTCCTTCTAAACGCTCGTGATCTTGCTGATGCCGTCTATGAACCTCTTTCAAGTTGTCCAACCTGTAAATAACAATGTACGTATGTATTAATAGGATTTTATTATTTTTTCTACTGTACGTAAAGCCTGAAATGTTTAGAAAAATATAAAACCTTGCGCGCATTTTATTAATAACTTCTTGTGGAGTAACAGGTACGATTTTTGTTGGATCTGGTGGTTGAATGGACGGTGGCGGTGGCGGTGCAGGCATTAATACCATTTCCAATGGTACACCAGACCCGATCATCTGATTTATACCCATTGTGTATTGTTGTTGCAGCATAGAATCCTGCTGTGCTGCTGCAATCTGTATATCGAAAAATAAACATTTAACATCGCTCTAAATATATATATTTTTAATAAATTAGTATGGCTCATATGTGAGAAACACAAATTTCAAGAAATATATATATTTATAAAATTTTTAATCTTCATAAATTGCATTTTTACCTGAGCACCCGTTACGCCTTTTCGTATTTGTTGAGCTTCCCACTCCTCTTCTTCGTTCTCATGCTCACTTTCATTATCTGAAACTAAATTTAAAGAGTTTTTCAAGTTTTCTTTTATAAAAAAATAGAGTTAGAATTAGAGTTAATTAAATGTTACAGCTAAAATTAATTATATATAAAAATTCACACATTTTAATGGAACTTGAGAAGCAAGAAATGCTTCTCTTCTTTTTTCTTTATCACGCGCTTCAGTGTTGACAGTCATATCTAGTCGATCTTGAGAATCATCATCGTCACTTCGATCGTGATCTTCTTCTCGTATTAGTCTTGACTTGCCCTTATCGTCACTATAAAAACAAATTGTAATATTATATTAGTAAATATATCAATAACGAGTATAGTAATATAAGAGACATTCACAAATCGTTTTTTAGTATATCATTTTGATAAAGTCAAATTACCTCTGCTCTTCAATAGGAATGTAATCGGTTCCCAATTCTCTTGCTTTTTGTCTGCGTTTTCTCGCTGCATGAATCATAGCGGCATCAGGTATACATCCACCTGAATGACATTAAGAGAACATTATTACAGTAAGAAATATAAAAACTTGTTAAAAAATTTTTATAACATGTTTAATGTTCTAGTAATAATACGAGGCCATTTTAACTTGTGTAGCAATATGTGCCGGGATGGATAACCGATAGGATTTTAATATAAAGGACTCTCACTTTTCTCTCTCGTTATAACTGTGTATATTTGACTAACGATCTGGTACCGACACGTCTTCCGAGATCGAACTTACAAGTCTTTGTCTCGAGCACCGGTGCTCTTCACTTCGCCGGGAAGCGCCGCTGGACCAATCCGCGGTCCACGCGCACCGTGGTCGGTTTTCGCTGTTCGTGTTATTTGTCGATTGTCGCTTTTCGGAGGTGTCCTCCGAAAAGCGACAATCATCTCTGCTTATATGTAACGGGCGATATTTCGCCCGCTTACGAGATTTCAATCTTTTCGTCTACACTTGTATTTTAATTGATACAAGGCTATTTTTAATTATACTTATATCTCATATGAAAATTACGTACTCTCAAGAAGTATTTTGACAGTTTCAGCTTTATCTGTATTTTTCCGAAATTTGTGACTGCAAGGCTCATCTTCCTCCTCACCCGACGTATAGTCATCTTTTCCTGCTGCTAATGCAGCTCGTCCGTTTAAAATCAGCGGTCCTGTGTTTTTTATTTTAACCTAGCAATAAAGATTATGATTCATTTAGTAAAGACACACAATTTCAAACAGAAATATTTCAAATTTTTACAAAAAAGATATTCTCCAAATACAATTTTGATTTATATCTTGAAATTAAGATACTCGAGTATTTCTACAAAATAATAGAAGATGTACAAGTATCCATTAAGAATCATCATATGATAAAAAGCTTACTACAAGATGAGTGAGTGTATGTACACTAAAGAGAAATAATAAACTACCAAGGTTAGATAATAAATAATTTAACGAATATTTGGAACATAATATTCAAATTTATAATTTGGACATTGCTCATTTTTCCAAGACACACATAACTAACGAAATAAAAATATTATAGAAAAGGTAATATCCCAATCAAATATATAAATTTGTATTTATCCAAATTTAACGATTAAAAGAACACCTTTGTATTTTTATAACTGCTCGATACACACAATTGTATATGTATATATAAATTATGATTGCACGAAAAATGACATAAAAATATTATGTCTTCTCGCTGTATCCCATAGTTGTTCCAAATCTTGAAACATTAGTCAACGTATTAGGGAGAGACGTAAAAAATTGTCTATGTTAAATGATAAGTTACTTAAATTGAAGAAATGCTAATAATAATAAAACATCATAGAGATAGCTTACTACTAGATCATCTGTCTTTATTTCTAAATCTTTTTCCTGCTTAATGGATTTATTTGCTTGCTCAGTGTCCACTTGCATTTTCTCTTCACCTTTCTTTTTCCTCCTCTCGTGATCTAGCTGTTTCATCAGCTTTTTGCTCCTCGACGATTTCTTCACTATAAAAACTTCTCCGTCGTCCCCTGTAATTCAGTACAACTTTCAATTTCAATCTGAACATACAATATATGGTTTCGATGCTTGGTAAAACATTTGGGAGAATTGGCATCTGTGCAAAACTCTTAGTTAAACATTATTTATCTAAAACAGAACTGCATCGGCATTAAAACATTGTTCCTGCTATTAAAACTGGTCTACAATACGTCAAGTATATTGGCTCGGCTTTAGCATTTTCACTATATTGTAAGATACAGGATTGACCCTCGGGGTCTCTTTCGTTGGCCGCACAATATAACGCATGTAAACGCAGGTGGCCTAATTACTCAAATTTAAAGGAATGTAGGTCTGCCCCGTCATTTGTTTCATTTTGCGTCAGTCCCTTCTGCCCATCCGACATTGCTCTGGGCAGACCATAGACTTATATACTAGACTGCGCCATCCGTAGGAGGCGACGTCTAATGTTTAGGACAGCGCGTCCATAGGGATGGCACAGTCTAGTAATATAAGTCTATGGGGCAGACCAATGAGAGAAAAGTTGTATGTACGCTAGTGTGACTTTGACAAGTACGTAAACACACACGCCGCTGGATCCCACCCGGGTGTATTGGCGGAATATACGTAATCAGGACTGCCAAGGTCAAAGGGGCCGGCAGAGAGTGGACCTACTAGTTATATGATGCTTACTCCATGTATCGTAGACCAGCCTTTACTCAAAGCAGAAGCTTGCTCTACGAGCGAGCGGTATCGCGTTCTCGCTCCAACAAATTGCAACAAGGTACACGTAAAACAGGTTACTCATGTATACAATAATTACGCACGTACACACACATATGTTACATGTGTAAGCATGTGTGTATGTATAAACACCTTGTTCCAGCTCCTCTCCAAAGCTGAGGCGCGTCTGCTTTGGCTTATCCTTTTTCGTTTTAACTTTGGTTGGCAGCGCGTCCTCCACCTCCATTCTGTTCTCGTTATCCTCGTCTTCATCGTTGAACGGACGCCGACGTATGTTGCGCTTCGGTTTGTTGAATAGTGACATTGTCGCTGCGACGTCGCTCCCCGACAACGGCCGTTCGCTGCTCGAGCTCTTGTTATTATTATCGGCTCTTGCTTCTATCCACAGAAGGCGCAATATGGCCACTTGTAAGCAAAATTCGTTGGCGTTGCGTGCACTACGATGTCAAGCTCAGTTCGATCCCTATTCCGGCTGTTAACCCACCTACCGCACAGCAAACGGGTCAGGGGAGGTGGATTCTTACTAATGTCGATAGATAATAAACGCAAGGCAGGGGCCTACCCGACTAACCGGACCTCGCGCAGTCGATGCAATCGGCTGGTAGCCCCGAGTACGAGAAATTTCCTCCTCGGCCTGAAAACGCACAAACCGCTCGCCGTCCCAAACGGCACTGACAATGAAGCTCTCGAACTCGACTGTTAAAGACGCGGGCTGAAAAGCGGCATCACGGAAGACTAGTAACCGATTGAAACGTACGCGGTAACGTCCCGCTCCGTATCGGCGGATCGGCGATACACGAGGCTGCAAATTGCCGCGACACTCGGGTACATTCGCGTTAACAGCTCGCACAAGCTCGCACGCCGACCAAACTAAACGGCACGAGCGGCACGAGCCCAGCAGTTCTCCACACTTCTTTTCGGCGAGAGCTCGAGCCGTTGATGGTCGCGAGAGGGCGTCACGATCGCTCCGAGCGCAACGGCGACTATATTTTCGCGTGGCGTTCTGATTGGTGGTCCGGTTTTTGTCCAGCTGTGTAGCTGCCATTCGCTCTTTCACGTCTTCGTGAGTTGTGCGATAACCAATGAAAGGAGGTGAAGCAAAGTAGTGGTTATGCACGGTTGTGTATTATGCATTGGGCTTGTTTTCTGTTCCTGCACTGATGAACTAGTGCAATAAATTGGAGTAAAGGCCTATGTCCACGATGCTA